TCACTGTAAATCCACTGCTGTACATGTTTAAACATGGACGTGAGTGCATATAAATCTCTGATGGAGTGTTTAAACTCTGCAGTAATCTGTTTGAGAAGGATGTGGGCCGCCAAAGACACAGACAGGCGGCTTAATCCGAATGAATGATGACTAGGAATGTGTTGCTTTTTAACATTCATGCAAGTTTTAGCAATTTGATACAAATGAATGTTTTTAAATAACCTGAGAACACATGTACAGGTCAAACTCAAACCTTGCATACTGCATGCATAAACTTGCATACTTGCCCTCCCATTTTTATTAATAATTTTATCTACCAATGATGTATTCAATTAAAAGACACTTATGTTACAAAAGATCTCCATTTCAAATAAATGCTGTTCATTTGAACTTTCTATTTAAAATGTATCATGAAGTTGTTTTGTGACAAAACACTTTTTTTTCAAAATTGTAAAATTGACTGTAAAAATTGGACAATATTTAGGACTATTAAGGACTATTTAGTACTACAAAGTTTTTTTTTCATTCTAAACATCCTGCTATAAATAATTATGAAATGTAACTTATATCTGATGAAATACAAAGAGTGTTTATGATTAAATGTTATGTTTGTTAACCAGCATAATTTGTGGCAGCTCTTTTTAAAGTTTCCTTCTGGCTTTGGGTCGCTCTTTTCATCTGCCTGACCATCTTTTGCTTTGTGGGACAGTAATTGTAGTGAAGTGGTTGTTTTATGGTGTGCTGAGGGTTTGACTTCAGTGTTTGTTGGTTGAAAGGACGTTGTACCACAGGAGGGGTCCATCTGTGGACAAATGCATTATGCAAATGGAAATGATGAGAAAGGTATCGCTCATAGATACTACCATGGACACTTGAGACATATGGACACACCCAGAACAGATACCCTTCAGCTTCATGAAACAGGTTAGCATTAGCTGTGGTGTCACTGTGACACTGGGCTCACAGCCAAACATGAGGACACTGGGTGTGTGTGTGTGTGTGTGTGTGTGTGTGTCTGCACACGTGTGCATGTGTGCTTACTTGTTTTTTAGCACACCATCTGTGTGTAAGCTGTTATATTGTGTTACGGAGTTCTTTCTACACATCTGGTCTACTCTATAGTACTACAACTCATGGAAATGACAGAGAGTGAGACAGATAATGTATCCTCTGGCTCCTTATGAGAGATGACAGTGTATGTTTTCTCACACAGGCTGTTCCTCCTCTGCCATCTGTTGTAGTCGTGTGTGTGTGCGCAAAAAGTTAAAGCAAAGCAGTCCTATATAATCCTTTGCTGGTAAATCGGTGATGTCTTGCTACAGTAACAAATGGTGTAATTTTGCAGAATGATTTCATCTGTTGGCGAGGTGTCTGTCTGGATGACTAGATTTTTCCGCAGTCCTGAAAATTTGGTGTTTCATATGGGTGTTCTGCTCCATGTCTGCTTTAAGCAGTAATGTCACCCTCAGGGTGATCTCATCCGTCTGGTCGCCCTGTTGGGGTGATGAGTGGCCGTTGCCCTAGAGATTGTTCCCTTGGCAACCGTGGGATTGTCTTAACACTCTCATATTCACGAGACAAGACGGTATTGTGAAACTAGTCAGATGACACACTCTTTGGGAAATGTTATGGCCAAATAAAAGTCTTATTAAAATTATTATTCATTATGTCATTGATTGACTAAAATCATAGCTAATATGTTTTAAAATGCTAATACTGTATTTTTTTTATATATAAATTGACCGTTTCATGATCCAGAGTGATACTAATCTTTCAGTCAAGCTTTTATCTCTAGCTTTGATTCATTTCTCTCTGTTGTAAGAATTTTTAGTCCTTTTTAAAAAAAATGGTGTTTTACTGACTGAGAGGGTTTGATCTGATTGTCACACTTTGACAGTTGAAGAATCACTAGAACAGACTGAAGAGAGATAGGATATCTCTCTATCTCGCACTCGTTCGGTCAAAACATGTACACGTGCAACATGCAAAAGCAGTGAACTCACAGCAGATGTGGAAAATGAGCCCATAATGGTTAATGACTGATAGATAAGAGAGAGAGGGGTGAGGCATGTCTCATGAAGAAAATGTTTCTGTTCTTTTGAACATAATTTGAAAACATCCAGACAAATGTACTTGGGGTCCACAATGAAAACACAACTTCATAAAGGGACTGAATGGTTTCTGTTTTTGCATCTACAAATACTGAAAGGCCAAATTTGAGGTTAGGGTTTAAAAGTAGGTTTAGGGTTAAGTGTGTGTGTGTGTGTGTGTTTGTGACTGAAGGCGAGTGTAAATGAACATTTGCTGCTAGTTAATCTGTACCTGTAATCAGTGAAGAGTTTCCATGATGTTTTAAGTGCTGAGTGTGAAAACTGTTTTGAATTAACCAGCTCATTTCCTTCTCCCACACACAGCCAGCCAATAGGTTTCACATGGATGTGTGTGTGTTCTGTGGTCTCTGTGGAATCTCTCACCCAATGCTGAAGTATTCTGACATCTGACATCTCTCACAAGTCTTGCTATTTGTTGAACACGCATAAACTGTGTATAAGACAAGAATGTAGTGAACTGACCTTCTGCTAAGCAAAGCTGACCAATCTTACCTCTTGCCCTGTGCGAAGTTACACCTTTTTTTTTAGGCCTGTCGCAATAATCAATATATCGACTTATCACGCAATATATGTACATGACCTCAATCATTTTTGGTGACGCAATATATCGCTCATTATATTTACTTAAAAATTAATGTCACCATGTTTTGTACATTCCACTTGTGCCTGTGTCTTTTAAAAAAAATTGTGTTTTACTGACTGAGAGGGTTTGATCTGATTGTCACACTTTGACAGTTGAAGAATCACTAGAACAGACTGAAGAGAGATAGGATATCTCTCTATCTCGCACTCGTTCGGTCAAAACATGTACACGTGCAACATGCAAAAGCAGTGAACTCACAGCAGATGTGGAAAATGAGCCCATAATGGTTAATGACTGATAGATAAGAGAGAGAGGGGTGAGGCATGTCTCATGAAGAAAATGTTTCTGTTCTTTTGAACATAATTTGAAATAATTTGAACAGAATGGTTTCTGTTTTTGCATCTACAAATACTGAAAGGCCAAATTTGAGGTTAGGGTTTAAAAGTAGGTTTAGGGTTAAGTGTGTGTGTGTGTGTGTGTTTGTGACTGAAGGCGAGTGTAAATGAACATTTGCTGCTAGTTAATCTGTACCTGTAATCAGTGAAGAGTTTCCATGATGTTTTAAGTGCTGAGTGTGAAAACTGTTTTGAATTAACCAGCTCATTTCCTTCTCCCACACACAGCCAGCCAATAGGTTTCACATGGATGTGTGTGTGTTCTGTGGTCTCTGTGGAATCTCTCACCCAATGCTGAAGTATTCTGACATCTGACATCTCTCACAAGTCTTGCTATTTGTTGAACACGCATAAACTGTGTATAAGACAAGAATGTAGTGAACTGACCTTCTGCTAAGCAAAGCTGACCAATCTTACCTCTTGCCCTGTGCGAAGTTACACCTTTTTTTTTAGGCCTGTCGCAATAATCAATATATCGACTTATCACGCAATATATGTACATGACCTCAATCATTTTTGGTGACGCAATATATCGCTCATTATATTTACTTAAAAATTAATGTCACCATGTTTTGTACATTCCACTTGTGCCTGTGTCTTTTGCAGCTTCTTGTACATAACGTGGTGTAGTCATGAAGTGCTAGTTCAAATTTAAAAAATGCTTCTACAAAAAGAGTTTTATCTGCAGATATGGTCTTGTTTAGGGATCTGTTCCTTTGTGCATACGTTCCTACTTGCTACTTTGCACTTTTTGTTAGAAAATGTTTATTTACTATTTATTCACGTTTTTTAAGGTATCTAATAGTTCGATACTTAATCTCCATTATCTAAATATTCTTAAAAATTAAAAGGTTGTTGTCATTTGGAAGTGTGTAGGCCTTCTTGCATTATTATGCTGTTACATTATGATTATATATTCAGTGGCATAAAATGGTCTTTAAAAATGACAATAATATCGCTTATCGCAATTATTTCTGGGGCAATATATCGCACAACAAAAAGTTGTTATCGTGACAGGCCTAACCTTTTTCTAATGTTAGTCTTTGGATCTTTACGAATTTATGGGAATTATCAAAATTATGATAAAGAGAGGGTACAAGGGATCACTTTTACATTTTCCAAATCTTGTGACGTGTATAATTCATCTATTTCTGAGAGGAGCGGCAGATAAGATGCTTTGCATTGTTACAATTTATTGCAGACCACATAATAATAATAATAATATTTAATCAATTACCACAACTTTATGAGCACATAGTACTGAATAATATCACACAGTTCACCTAAGTCCTTAGTTTATATGGGATATTCTGTAAAGGTTGTCTTGTGGTAGTAACAGCAACCAAAGGCTGGAGACTAGTAAAGGTAGTCTTTGCGAATTTATGGGAATTATCAAAATTATGATAAAGAGAGGGTACAAGGGATCACTTTTACATTTTCCAAATCTTGTGACGTGTATAATTCATCTATTTCTGAGAGGAGCGGCAGATAAGATGCTTTGCATTGTTACAATTTATTGCAGACCACATAATAATAATAATAATAATATTTAATCAATTACCACAACTTTATGAGCACATAGTACTGAATAATATCACACAGTTCACCTAAGTCCTTAGTTTATATGGGATATTCTGTAAAGGTTGTCTTGTGGTAGTAACAGCAACCAAAGGCTGGAGACTAGTAAAGGTAGAAATACAGACAGCAGCTGTTGGTTTAAATTAAGATAACTCTTTAATTTAATCATTAAAGGGGTGGTTGATTGCGATTTCACTTTTTTAACATTAGTTAGTGTGTAATGTTGCTGTTTGATCATAAACAATATCTTCAAAGTTACGAAGCTGAAAGTTCAATACAAACGGAGATATCTTTTAAAATTCTGGCAGTTTAATGCCTACAAAAATGGCTGGTAGGGACTACAAGAAGTTACTTCCCGGGTTCGTGACGTAACAAACCCAGATAAACCCTGCCCTCAGGAAAAGGCAGCAAAGGGGGCAAGGCCATATTGCGATGCTTTAGAGAAGAGGAAGGGAAAATTAGAGGTGCACGTAAAAATCTATTCATATATCCTAATGGATTCACAAAAAATCAATGTTCTAAAGCAGCGCTTCTTAATACTGTTCAGGGCTCGCAAAATTGCTAGCCCGACGTCCCGGGGCTATTGTGTTTTCTAGTCGGGCTACCAAAATGTTTCACCACCCTGCCCGACGAGCTATCTTGAACAGTGATAAAAAATTCCTTCCTTGATTTGTGTTGTTCACTAGCTTGTAGGGGTAAAACGGATCGTAGTTGGTCGTTTGCACCCTAATGGATTCACAAAAAATCAATGTTCTAAAGCAGCGCATCTTAATACTGTTCAGGGCTCGCAAAATTGCTAGCCCGACGTCCCGGGGCTATTGTGTTTTCTAGTCGGGCTACCAAAATGTTTCACCACCCTGCCCGACGAGCTATCTTGAACAGTGATAAAAAATTCCTTCCTTGATTTGTGTTGTTCACTAGCTTGTAGGGGTAAAACGGATCGTAGTTGGTCGTTTGCACGTGTTTCTAAGTCTTGCCGATTTAAATATTCAAGTGTTTTAAACCATTCACGCGCATTCGGAGCTGCGCGCACTCATTCAAAGCGTGCACAAAGAGCCGCGTTTCAGACAATGCGCATACACAGAATTTATTTATCTTTCGCTTATCCTTGCATCTGAATGAACATACATACAAAATTATCTCAAAATAACTGTCTCGGCAAGTATTCTCAAAAACACAGTCGGTTATGTCTTAAGAGAACGTAAACAGTGGAGAAAGAAATCTCAAGTGCATCATTATATTGGATCCGTGCATTCGGTTTTAAAGGGGCAGCAGCCTATAAATACCTGCTGTTCCATAAGCGCCACCTGCTGTCAGAGAGTGACATTTGCGTCTCATTCACAAAGCTAAAATCAGACCATTCTGTTTTTGGTTCAAATTTCGAAAATATCAAATCTAACTGCAATCTAAATAACATGTATTTAGCATCTTTGTTTGGATCGTGATTAAAATGCAGTGGTTGCCTCTGATTTTAAATGGAAAAAGCACAGCCAAAGCATTAGTTTGTTTATATGAAGAGATTTATTTTATTTGTATTATTTAACTATTTGATTTGGGATTTGTTTTAAAATTTCAAGTTAGTTTTATTTTTTGACATATTTCAATTTCACAAAGAAATGTGCAGCATTTTGTTGAAGAAATAATAAAAGGACACCTTTTCATTTATAATTTGTCTTAAATCTCATTTTGTTAAAGAGAAAATTGTGTTGTGAAATCAGTATCGTGAATCGCATTGTATCGTGTGTTGAGTGAATCGTTACATCCCTATATGCGATTAGTTTTTGCTGTGGTATCAAAGAAGTATTCTGTTATTTAAATAATAAAGAACCATATTTTTTTGCTCATCTGCAAAATTACCTGATCTGTTACTCAAAATCTGATATGGTAGTGCAATATGATCCGAGCCGTGGGTTTTGTGATCCGTTGCACCCCTACTCTCTTGACTTGTTATTTGAAGAAAAAAAGTGATCACTGACGTTTTTAATCATGCTGATTTGTCCGCAGTGAAGTTCAGCCGATGTCTTTTTAAAAAAAAATGTTATTCGGGCTACCAAAATCTGAAGAATGTCTGCCCGAAGGGCAACCAGCGATTTAGAAATTTTGCAAGCCCTGCTGTTCCTCGCGTCCCCTGCTCTGCACACCCTCTGCATCTCTCTCATTCAGCTCAGCTCCAACAATGAACTGTTCCAATTATACACTTATTTTCACATAGCTATGAGAAGCGTTAAACATGGACGCGTGTGCGGTTGTCGTACTGTATTAAAGCTTTAATCAGGATAAAACCATATATTAAAAGCCAACATAAGCAGTAGCATTTACAAATAACAGCATATCTAAAAGTATGAGACAACATCAAACAAAAAACCTAGGCCTACCATTAAAAGCCGTGCTTGCACAGATTCTGCACGATCCTCTTCAATAATATCCTCTGCTTCTCAATCGGGCTCAAACTGATAAGCGATATTAACGACGCCGTTGTTTACAATACAACCGGAGCACATGCCGCTGCGGTGAGGAGTGGGACGCTTAGACGCGCACTAGATGTGGTTTAGCCAATCACAACACACTGGGCTAGATAACCAATCAGAGCCCATCGCCTATTTCTGAGGGAGGGGCTTCATAAAAGAAGGAAATGATCAGCATGTTTCTCAAAGAAGGGACCGAGCAGTGTGTGGAATAAAGGTAAATTATGTGAAAAATAATGCCTTTTTTTTTCTTTTTTCAATCGAAGCATTAACACCTTAGACTGCACCCCATAAATACAATCAAGCCTAGAAAAAAACAGTGAACCACCCCTTTAAGTCAAATGTAGTCAACGGGTTTGCTTGTATGAGTTTTTAACCTGTTTCAGTCTTAGTATAAAGGCCTGTTGAGTATTTGGTGTGGAAATTGTGTGATAAACATTTTAATTTGAATAAATGGTTGTTAATGCATTTGTTTAGACCAACATGAATATTCACATGCCATCAGTCACTGAATTACCTTTTTTTCCAATTTTTTTTTCATCTTACTGGCAGACCAATAAGATTTGTGCTTTTGGTCACATGCCCAGAGCCGCTGCTGTTACTACTTCTTTTCTAAAAGTGCCACCTACTTTCAGAGAGCAAGTTTACATTTTCCTTCAGCGTGTCTGCAGTTTTTTTTGCACATTGGTCTGAACAGACAAATCACATGTGAAAATCAGACCAAATTTTGGTTCCAAACATTTGTGTCAGTGTGAACAGGTATTGATTTTCCCTGCTGTTCTTGTTTGTAACCATGTATTCAGAATGACATTTGTTTATTATTAGGTCAAACTTCCTCTACAGATTTACATGTCAAATAAGGTGATATTCAAATATGTACATTCTCTATGTTAGCCTCTTTCATATGTAAACCACCTTTTGTTTTTTAATGACGTCTTTGGGTCTCACATGCATTTTGTTTTTGTTCCTGTGGTTTGCCGTTGATATTTGTGTTTTGTATGCTTTTCAGGACATTATTGCTGGTTTTCTGTACAGTTTGCTGATCCTGGTGGTCTTCAGTCCTGCTCTGGACATCATCGACACCTTTAACCGCTCACATCCCTACGCCCCGCTCATCATCATCTCACTTCACGTAGGACTAGGCCTCTTCTCCTTCACCTTGGACACCTGGAGCACCTCACGTGGCGACACCGCCCAAATCCTGGGCTCTGGCGCGGGGATCGCCTTGGCATCCCACATCAACTATCACCTGGGCCTTTTGCCAGACCCACCTGCGTCCATGTTTCCTCTTCAACCCCCATCTTTCACCCTCAGCCTGATCGGACTCTGTCTACTCCGCTTTCTCCTCGGTGTCATCATTCTCCTGGCTACCAGAGCCATAATGAAGGCTCTCACCATCCCGCTCGTCTGCTGGCTCTTTGGGATTCCCAGCGGCGACGTCCGGAAGGCCAGGCAGCACATGGAGGTGGAGCTGCCGTATCGTTATATCGTCTATGGAACTGTGGGGTTAAATGCGCATTTTCTTGTGCCTTTCCTGTTTGCACGTGTGGGCCTGTTGTGATTAGGTGGAAGAAAAACCTATTATTTTAGCCAATAAGAGCCCAGTTGGACTGCAGAGGCAACTCTCTTTGAATCAGTGATTGGATGGAACTAATGCCGATCGTGTAACTGACACTGTGCTACACCTTCCAGATGCTCCTTGAATGCATTTTTCACCATTTATACTGTAGTTTTGTCAGATTTTCTATTCAAAACACCTATTTGATATTGATCCAGAGATTATTGCCCTTTTCTATGCAGTTTGCATTGCATGTATAGTACAGTAGCATATCTATCAGATTCTATTCTTGTCTAAAATCCTATGTTTTTTTGCAAGCAATACAGCATTTTTGCTCATTCTCAAATTTTATAGGACTTATGAGTAATCTTTTGGCAAGTTTTGTTCATGCCACAGTAGGTGGACTTAAACTCTTGCATCAAGAGTTGATTGAAATCTCTCTTGCGAAGATGTGACTCATGCAAATTAGCATGCAAAATCTCAGCGACAATTACAAATTGGCTGGAACTGATGCCAGCAATTTATATTTCTTTTGTTTGAGAGATTTGAATCTGAAATCTCAAATGTTAATAGAAATGGTCAGTGTTGGGAGCAGCGCTGAGCTTTGTGGTCATTTTTGTTGCAGTTGATTGAGAGGTTTAGTTTTTGATCTAAAGAAGGTTGGACTATTCTCCAAAGACTTATAGAAGCCTTAAACGGATAGTTCATACAAAACGACAGTTCTGTCATTTTACTCACCCTCAATATTTGACCTGTGGTGCAGAAGAAAATATTTTGAGAAATGTCGTCTTGTGCATATAAAAGAAGTCAGCGGGCTCTAATGTTATTTGGTTCTCAATGTTTCCAACAGAGAAAGTAAGTCACACAGGTTTGGAATAACAATGTTGACAGAATTTTCTTTCC